AGGAGCATTACAAGAGTAGAAAGCACTCTTATTCCAACACACACAAATATATAACATAAGCATTATTTAGGTTTTCAATGATGAACATGATAACCAGCCAATTAATTGACAGTGGATGGCTTCTACTTTGGAGGTGACTTTGCATGAGCAAGAGAGATTGTTGGGATCATAAATAACTTAATCAAACCAAAGGTACAACTAATAACAACTTGGCTAACATCTTATCACTCCCTGTGAAAAAAAATTGAATTAAAATACTTTGTGTTAATCAACATAAAAATGCATTTATTGTTTTTCATTAAAGTAAATTATGAAGGATGATTTAGAGAATTTGTAATAAATGCTTATTGAAATATATGATTTTGGTTATAAAAAAATACAACTCAAAAGTGATAGTTTATCTATCAATAAAAAATGGAGGAAGTAATTGCTTAGGGTTTATTTCTCTCTGGTATGGAATTAGATAGCATGTTTGGGAGTTCTCTGGCCTTTCACAATGTTGCATTTCCCATGTCATCACTACCAGTGATGTTATTGAAAAATTTACAATAAAATATCTTTGTACATTTTGGTAATTTATGATGAACAACAGATAGATTTTTCTATAAGTAATAACAAATGGTTTTATTATAATTGCAGTTGGATTAACCATAAACTTTAGTTCATTGAGTTAAAATTTTTGATGGCTTCGATGAAGATGAAAATTGAAACTTGAAAGTATGTGATTCATGAAATATTTTGTGTATGCAGGAAGAAAAATGATTGCTGGAAGTGCCGCTGGAGAAATAGGAGAGACGCAAGAGATGATTGATTTGGCAGCGAAGCACAATATCACAGCTGATATTGAAGTAATTCTGATTGATTTAGAGTGAGTCGCCAAAAATGATGTCAAGTATCGTTTTGTGATTGACATGGCCAACACCCTCCATAAGGTCTCTCTCCTTGACTAGAAATTGACAATGAAAGTATCATCTCCAACGGAGGTTCTCTACATATATGTCTTAAAGGAACTATATATATATATTGTATTCAAATGTTTTGTTTTTCTATAAAGAAATTAATGTAAGATTGATGGAGCACTATAAAATATTCTTACTAATAATGTGTCTAATTTTTTTTAAAAAAGATGAAGAGTATTATAAAATAACAAAGTACAAATCAATGTATATTATGACAATAAAAGCAGGAGGTACTGCTGTGACACTTTTAATCTAATCTTATTTTACGTAAATACATAAGCGTGTGTGCTTACAACATCAACGTGAACAAAATTTTAGCAAAATTAATTGTTATCAATTAAATGGGCTCCAATTTTTTTAAAATCTAATAAAATATTAATAACTCATTTTTTAAAAAACACCTTTGTCTCTCTTTAACTCCTAGTTTAATTGATAGCTTTCCCATCTTTTCCCCCTTCCCTAATGAGCTGCTCTATCAATGAAATGGTGATTTTGAGAAGTTGTAAATTAATTTTTTTTGCAGGCATTTAACTAATTATAATTATTTTTTAATCTCATGAAAATTGTTGATAAGCCCTTCTTATAAAAAAGACACAAGAAGTATTGAAATTCAAAATTTGAATTATAATCTATTCAACTCTTCAATAACAAAAGTGGAATCAAAATTTTTCCCTACCCAAACTTCAATCTAAATTCCAAATAGGTCATCAAATAGCTTCAAAATAATTACCACAATTGTCAGAATTGAATAAGACTAGCCGGTTCGACTGATAGCTAGCCTTTAGTCTAGTTTGGCCAACTATAAGAATTAAAGGAAGGGTGAATTAACCAAGACACGAAGTTAATCAAAGCCAATGAAAATCATAAAACTGATCAACAACCAATTTTTCATTTTTTTAAATAAAATTTCAATAGCCCAAAACAATACTATTTTATGTTTTTATAGGTCTTGTTATTGGTTTGTCTCTAGTGTTATACACACACACACACACATGATGAGGATGATTCAATGGTAATTTTTATTTATTATGGAAGCTTGTGTTAGTTTGGTTACACAATTAATGCAACACATACTCCGTCCATTTTTAAATATAAGAATTATATTTAACCCACTCTCATAGTTTAAGAATGTTGGTTAATCATAAGAATTATATATGAAATTGAAAAATTTAGACTAAAGTATCTTTTAAATCTTGGTAATTTGTGATGAAAACAAATAGTATTTTATTATAATGTTGGGGGGATTAATCATAAACTTGCCATGTATTATAAGAAGCATCAATAAATATTGTCTTAAATATTTTTATTTCGCACATATATTCTTTAAATTTTATATTATTTTAATTAAAATAAAACTTACCATGCACCATTCAATACCCCAACCGATTGAATACCTGCTTAGTTCTTCAACATTGAAAATAACTGTTATGACCCTTGAAACTTTTCAAACACATTAGTGACAACATGTAAATTTGCAAGTTGTAACATTATATAAAGGCCAGAGAACTCCCAGCCATGCTATCTGTATTTTACACTAGAGAGAAATAAACCCTAAGCAATTAAGATGTTGGCTAAGTTGTTATTGGTTGTGCTTTTGGTTTGTGTTGAGTTATTTCTGATCCTAGCAACCTCTCTTGCTCATGTGATGCCATCAATCAATCATTGCAATTGGCCTCAATTTGCTAGAGATTCAACACCAAGACCATAATGAGGGTGCAAACCACTACCTCACTGACCATCGCCCCTAAACAACTCTCCACCAAGAGTCAAGCTGCTAAGCACTCCAGAGAATGAGCCTAAAATTGAAGCACATGATGAGCTGCCACCAAAATACAAGCCACCTCTAAAGTACAAGCCACCCACTGCTAATTAGCTAGTGATCATGTTCATCATTGAAAACCTAAATAAAGCTTATATTATGTGTATGTTTATGATGGAATATGAGTGCTTTCCACTCATGTGTAAATGTAATGCTCCTTTTACTGATATCATGAATAAGTACTGTGTGCACTTGTGTTTGTTTGTGCTCTCTATGTTATTGTTGTTTAATAAATTTACTAACAGTTGATCAACTCTTTTCCCAATTATTATACTCTAATTCACTATGTTCAATTCTATATATAAATCATTTTTAACTATTTCACTAGAATCAAATAAAAGTAGTTAAATTATTGATTTTTTTAGAAGAAAAAAGAAAGAAAGAAATTGACTAATAATAATAATTTTAAAGATAATCAATTTTTCTATGAATGTGACTTATATATATATAGGACTAGAGAGAGTGCCAATTATCTATCTCCCTCCCCCACCCCCACTCATGACCTCTATTCTAGTAATCTCACAACTCATGTCCAGTCTCTTAGAAAATATGTATGGAACCATTCATATTTGTATTAAATCAATTTATTATTTTGATTTCGCTCCATTCTTAATGTTTCTTGTCATTTGGCCCCCAATAAAATTGTGCTTTACTTGAAAAAGTTATGTTGAGTGTAGAATTTAATCATGCGAGAACTTGTTCCAAAAAATTCGTATGAATATATGTTATATCAACGTGGACCAAATTTCAACAAAATTAATTGTTGTCATTCAAATATTTGGCTGCAAACAATAAGTTAGGAGTTAAGAAGAATGACAAGTAAGGACCTCATAAGAAGATTGATCTCAAATCAAGATTTTAAAAGATTTTTAATACTAGAACATAGAAGAAATACTACTGAACTTGTAAACTTTAATTGTGAAATGATCCTAATTTGATATTAATTTTCTTTTCAGACCCTGTCTTGTCATTTACCCTTAATTAGAATTACTTATTCCTTTTGGTCCTATTTACAATATCATATCCATTGATTCTTAAAACAATAACCTTTACAAAATTTAGTAAAACATTTATAACTCATTTTGAAAAATGTCCTTCTTGATGGATGCCCAAACCCCACAAGGTGAGCAATTAGTAAGCATTTTTATAAGCACTCTTTGAGTCTAGAAGCATGCTCTAGTCTTGGTGAACTTTTAGGACCAAGCTCACCTAAATTTTTTGTCATAAAAAAAAAAATCCTTGTCTCTTTAACTCTTAGCTTAATTGATAGATTTTCCATCCTTTCTTCCTTCCCTAATGGGCTATAATCTATCAATTAAAGGGTGATTTTGAAAAATTGTAAAAAGAAAATTTACATTAAACTAATTGGAACTAATTTTCTTAATCTTACGGATATAGTTAGTAGGGTCATTTAAAATGGACCAAAAGGTGCATTGAAATTGAAATTTTGAATTACAACTTGTTCAACTCTTCAATGACATCAGTAGTGAAGACAGCTTTGGAATTGTGATAATATGAAAGGCCACTCCTTCAGACGTGCTTTCTACACCTAAAGTATATATATTCCCTCTAAACCATAGCATAACATATTAGTAATAAGGGTGATTTAGTTCATTTTTATATTGATTTTTTCAATTCATTTCATTTCGTTCTATTCTAATAACCAAACAGGACTTAAGTGTTTAGTCGGTATACAGAAAAAGGAAAATGCATATAGGTACATTTTCCTTTTCCCTTATAGAAAACACTTTTTTACCTACCAAATAGTTAATAATACTGGCACCCAATCTTTCTAGTCACTCACTTTCTTTTTCTTTGATCATGGGTAGTTTGTCCATCATAAAGGCATCGACAACTAATAGGGCCCACACCTAGTTGGTGCCCACAACCTAGACGAGTTTCATTGTGTCTTTCTCAAAGGAGAAGTTGCCCCTTGTTGAGGTTTGGTCAAAGTCTCCCCTATAATTCAATGGACTTAACATTCTAACTTATGACACCAATGGTTGGTGCAAGCTTAAGGTTCAAGGAAATAGAGTTGCACCTTGAGTAATAGCTATAATGTCTATCCTAGTGATGGCACTATATCATTCACCCCTCATAGAAGTAGGTTTGTAATAACCCTAAATAAAAAAAAACAAAAGAAAAGAAAAGAAAAAGATAAATTAAATGATAAATAAATTAAATAATTTTTTTTTCTTTCTTTCAATTGATATTTTATTTTATTGTTTTAGTTATATAATAAATAGGAAGTAATGGTTTAGTGGAAGCTATGCCATATGTTACTTGGAGACAGGGGGTTTGAATCTTACCTATATTGGAGGAAATTTCATTTTTGTTGACCTCGAATGAAGTTACCAAAATACCCCTATCTCTTGTGCAATTTTAAAAAAATATCTATTGGATTTTTCTCTAATTTTCCCTAATAAACTTCATTTCTTTAAATTCCTTCCCTTTGTCGGTCAAGAACAGAGCACGAGGGGAGAGAGTGAGAGAAATCCTGAATCTAGAAATTTCAAGCTTCTCTATCTTCTCCATCGGTCTTCTCCGTCTTCTTTGCCTATTCCCATCTGTCGTCGGTGTTGATGAGTCTAGAAGCTTCATCCGCCGCTGCTAAGAGTTTGAGCTGTGAGTTCTCCCAGGTGCGACGTCAATCACTTCCCTTTTCCTTGCCGTCATGTTGTTTGGTGTGCGTGTGGGTTTGAATTTCAGTTCTACGTCAATCACTTCCCTCTTTCTTGCTGTGATGTTGTTTGGTGTGCGTGTGGGTTTGAATTTCAGTTCTCCCTCCTCTGTTTTCGACACTGTGAAAGGATGCATGGAACGTTCTTCTCCCTCTTCCTTGTGCAGTGTCGCAGGTTCTTTCTCCTCCTTCTCTGCTCACGTCGTTGCTGGTTCAAGGTAGGAGATTTGGGATCCTTCTTTTTGGTTATTTCTGTACTCCTAAACACGGTATATTGTCGCTGTGCGTGAGAGTGTAGTTACTCTGTGTGTGCGTGAAATTACAGAATTTGTGTGTGGTTTGTGCTGTTGTGCTATTTCAGGGAAGAGATAATTTAAATATGGAGTTGGAAGGCTTAATAATTATAGTGGCTGAGTTAAATTAATTTGTTTGGAATGGCTGGTGTTGAAATAATTGTTAGGATGGAAGTGGAAGAGAAGAGCTTAAATGGAATACTTGGAGTTTTAATTTCTTTTTCTTGTGTTCTGTTGTTGCCGTGATTGTTTAAGAAGAAGATTTTAAATTAAGCAGGAAAGGCATATTAAAGCTTGGTAGTGATATATTTGGGTCAGAATTTTTGAATTTGGATATAAAATTTGAAGAACGATGCCTAAAGATGTTTGTTAAAATGTTTATTAGAGGGAGTGATTGATTGTGCATTTCCTAAAAATCTCATTAAAATTTTTGGGAGACATAATGGATTTGGATGATATTATTTGGTGAATTGAGGTTGGTATTGTGTAAAACTTTTTGATTATGAAAGTGGTGCCTAACTAGTTAAATCCTTTAGAAGTAGGTAGTTATAGAGAAATTGTTGAGTAATTTACTGGGAGATTTGAAAATAATGTGCATTCGGTGTTTAGAAAAAAAAAATGTTTAGTAGGAGATTGTATTGTAATAGAGCATTGAGTTATGACTTTTGAGGGATTTTCATGTGTAAAGCCTTGATTTTAAAATTTAAAGTTATTATATAGCTAAATATTGGTTGTGAAATATTGGGAGTAATTTATTGAATTTACTGAAAGTTTATTAAATATTTTATATAAATTATAGGATGTTTGGAAGAGCAGACATTTAATTGAAGTTGAGAGGTGAACTTTTAAATTTTGGGAAGTAATTCAGGTAAGTGGATAGCGTCCCAACTGAAATTTTTTTCTTTTCAATAAAATTTCCTTTGCTAAAATATTACGTTTTTCTGAAAATCATTTTAATAGCATTAATGCGATTGTTGGATATTTGTTGATTAACATTACTTTATTTTGAGAAATTAGCTTTACCAAATTTGAAATGTTATTTGACCAATTAAATCAAGTTTGAACTTTGATTATGAGATTTTTATTTTATCAAATATTGGATTGATACAGAGAATGATTCATGCAAGTTCGACTCTGAAAATTTGTTTTTTTGATTATTCGATAAATGCACGCATGAGCATTGGATATGAAATTTGATTCTGGCAAGTTTTAATGCCTAAAAGTATTCATGCGAGTTTGATTTTGAGAATAAGAATTGTATCTGAAAAGTGATGATTTTCTCGCATGTTTGAAAATGGTTTTAAAAAGGGACTTTATACAGAACACTGGTTGCTAACGACAGTTTCGTTAGCCCTTGGCGCGCCATGGTACACCCAGCTAGCAGGGTGTTTATAGGAGGTGCTAGCCCCGTGCGATGGCCAACGCACGTGGAATGGAGGGATGGTTATTCGTGAGCATCGTACTCACGTTTGTTTCGTGGCTTCGGCTGCGTTTGGTTACTTACCCTCGTGGACTATGTGTCCACGTTTGTTTTCGTGGCAAAAGCCGCGTTTGGGTTATCACTCTCGTGGACTGTGTGTCCACGTTTGTTAATTGTTCTGATAAGTTCCTATAATTATGAATCTAATTATCTGAGGATTTCATATTCTATTGGTTTTTTTAAGTAAATTGTTTATAAATATATTATTTCATATATGTGTTTTCTTGAAAGCAAGTCTTATTAATATTTGCCATGATAGTTCAATGAATTAAGATCTAATTTTAAAATTTTACAGAGCTATTCTATTTTAAAGTTTATTACATTTTTCGGAAAGCTGTTGTCTCTTTGACTCACAATTATTTTAAACTTTTTTTCTCTTTTTATTCAAGTTCTATTATTTATTGTTGGGACGTTATTCACTGGAAATTATTATTTTGATCTCAGATACGTTAGCTGATGTTGTGCCTTCCGCTAATCCTTGAGGGGCTGTAATATTCAGTTGAGATGAAAAGCTGAAATCAAACTTCTTTAAAGTAAATTTCTTATGTCAGGTGCTCCACAGAAGCTATAGTTAGGGTCCTCATCCTTATAATTTATACTGTGTTATTTAATGATCGGAAGAGAATTCCTTGCTGCTGCTACTGTTTTGTAAAATATTAAATCTTTTGTTCATATGGTTTGTATTGAGGATGGCTTAATTTATTATCAAAGGTCTTCATGGCTTATAAATTAAATTTTTCTAAAAAAAAAAGACTTTTGGAATATGGGTAATATCTCTATATTCTGTGCCAACATGTTCTAATTTCGGGGTGTGACAGTTTGGTATCAGAGCTTAGGTTTCCTATAGCTATGTGGAGCAAGGATTCTTCAGTGGGGTCTTGATTATCATTATGAACCCGGGCATAATTATAATCAAGGCATCATTGAAGGCCTTATAGAGGGTCCTTGACTGTTATTCCTTTCTTTCTTAGTGATTTCCCTTAATATATAAGTTTTGTGTCTTGAGCTAAATATCTCCTTGGTCTTTGTGCATAGTGAGAAATGTTGTCCATGCATTAAGTATCAACTAGAAGGATCTATAGTTAGATAGTTTCTTATAGAGCTTGAACTCAATCTAACAATATGCTCTTATTTTTGAAGCATATGTTCTTTTACATGTTACAAATTTTGTTAAGGTTAACAATTTTTGTTTTCATGTTAGAAAGAAGATTACACAAGATCACAAGTGCTATTGGGGCATTTGATCAAAGTGGTAGAACTTTAAGACCCTTAATATAGGCTTGTTTTAAATCAAGTAGTATGAATTTTGAGTTAATTTGGTCTCTTCCAAGTTCTGTGCTTATTGGCTTGAATTATGAGAGCAACATTTAAACTATATAAAAAGAAACTCCAGGGAAGAGATTTAGAAATCATGGTTATATTTTACATGGCTCAATACGAATCTTAATTATATAGTATAGTGGTCATAAGTATTATTCTATTTTTATATTTTGTCTTCATAAGATTCAGGCATTGTTTGATTTTAGTTCATTATGGTCATATATGCTTAGGTATTATGATAGCAAATCCTACTAGTGAGATATTTTGATGGATCAAATGTTTGAATCTTTTACCATCAATGGAAAGTGAAGGATTTTTTTGATGACTTTCCATAAGTGCCTAAATGATTTCTTTGATGAAATTACAATAAAAGGAGGTGCGAATAAGAATTATGGAGATTAATTGAGTCAATAATGTGGATGAGAGATTTATAATGTTGAAACACCAAATTTGGGCCAACCACAAATTGTGCGCGAATAAAGTGTAAAAAAAAAAAAAACAAACAGACTCTTGGCTTATGATAACGGTTCAAATGAGTCTATTAGAGGTCAAACAGGTCTTGTATGATGTGGGAACGAGAATTTGAACTTGGGTGATGAAAAACTTGAATTATGACTTGAAGTGGAACTTTGAAGTTCGTATGGTTTGATTAGATTATGGATGACTTAAGGTGTGTTAATGCAGGTTAAGCAATCATTTTGAGTCATAAAGCCAATCTAGAGCATCAAATTAGGTTTACATGTTATATGAGTGATTAGAAATATGTGTAAGATGAAAAATTTTAAAAGAGTGTAAGGTCAAGTAATTGAGCCTTCAAACTAGAACTAAATGAGTAGTTAAAAAAAAAAAGTAAAGTAAAAAGTATGACTACAGTTGAAGACCTTAAAGATTGAAGTTTGAGCTAAAATTTGATACGTAATTAAGGGAAATATGGAAGTTTCATTCTCTCGAATATATTAATTTTTTTTAGCTATAGAGAATATTTTATGAATTTTTGAAGTTAGTTTAAGAAGTTGTTATGAAACAGTTATGGATATTCTGTATTGGATCTGGAGTTTTATCATCTTCATGGACTTAATGGACTCCAATGTCTTTGAAATTTTAATAGTATATAGTATGTTATTATCTGCCTTGGAAGTCCTAATGTGTTACAATTGGATATTCTTAACCCAAGTGATGGTCATCTAAAATTTAGAATCAATTATATGTTCATAATATGGTAAATTACATGAAGAGAGATTAAGTTCAGTGTTCTTTAAATAACTATATTGATTATTAATAAGATGTTTTAAGCACCATAAGTGAGTTTAAATGGTTTTTATGATAAATGGTAGAAGGTAAAATTTATAGAGGATGAATTTTGAGAAAAGAATGTTCAAAAGTTACATGAATGTATAACATTCACATGCCTTTAAATTGTCATCAAGGGAAGAGATATTTCAATCTTAAAAAAAAAAAAATAGAGATAGAAAAGAAAAGAAAATGTTCATGATAGTAGTGGAATTTTATCTTTTTGTTTCAGTCCCTATAAATTACAATTCTACCCTTATTAGAAATCAGATTTTCTTACTTTCCCATTTTAATTGTACGGTATACCCATAAGAGATTCATATCCTTGAAAAATCCTTTGCCTCTATCCTTTTCCTTTGCTTCTAGAGTGTTCATCGGGGTGGGTGATTCTTTTGCTACGATCTACAATTATTAAGGGTCAAAGTAGTGCGCTTGTCTTTTCCGCCATGTTTCACCATCGTCCTCCCCGCATCTCGTCGAGAGAACTTCTTCTCCTTTTTTCTCTGTCATTGTTTATCTGGTTTGAGGAAGCTTAAGGTTCTTCTCCCAATTTCGTGCTTCATGTTCTCTAGTTCTTTTCGCTTCCTCTTCGATTTTCTACCGCTTCAAATTTTTTTATCTTAATTGCTATGTTGTGACAATGTTAGAAGGAAGTTTGTTGGATTTGTAGGATGTCTAATAAAAATTCTATCATATATTACAAGGAGATTGAAAGGGGAGAGAACTTGGTTTTATAGTCTAAACAATTGCGCTTGCAGGGCGTTTACTAATATGTCTATTAGAAGAGTTTTGTTAGGTTTTGAATTTTCTAAAATTCCATTAACTTTCATGAGAATATACTTTGTTTGGGTATTAATTATTCATGAATTTGATTTGAATTTTTGAAGAGTCTTGATTGTGAGGCTATTATGAGACAAACTGGACTTTGGAAAATGTATAGGTGATTATCATAATTATGTTGTTTTATGACTTGATTTTGGGAATGTACCTAAGGTGATTGTTATAATAGGTGATGGAAGAATTTTGGAATTTTAAAGTGATTAAGGGTGGTGTGTATGTATTGCACTCTTCATTAAAGTTTAGTGATGTATATTAGAGAAATATTGGAAAGAGAGATTAAAATGTAGCCAAAATGTTTGATATAAAAGTATATATATAAAGAATTGAGGAGATTGAAGAAGTTGAGGCATAAATTATAATGATTTGAGAACTTTGTTGATTATGGTGTTGTTAAGAAAGAAGTTTATCAAACCTAGGTAAAGGCCATCAAAATCTCGTGTGGACAATCGACGTCAAAAGCTAGAGTTATAGTTGGAGAAAGGGAGTGTTTTTTTTTTTTAAGGTGTCTTATACGAGAGACATAATGAGAATTGAGAAGAAATGCAAGTTGAGTTCAAAGTATGTTGCCTTGTTTACTTAGAGAGGGTTGGAACATTGTTTATCATTCAGCATTACCACTTGAATTATTGAGCACCCATCAGAGGATTGATGTGTTGATGCTTTGGAAATACATATATATGATCCATCTCATGTGATCAAGACTCAAAGAATTTGAATAAATCTAGATTTATTGAATGAAAGGGTTCGTAAGATAACCAAGTAAAACTCTTATAAAAAAGAAATCGCTATAATGAAAGTGTGATGGTGTTATCATTCTTAGTAAGGATTTACAAAGGAAGTTGAAAGTATAATGTGTGCTAAATATCAACATTTAATTGGAAACTAAGGAAAGCATTTTTTTAAATTCGGAGGACCGAATTTCTTAAGGCGGGGAGAATGTAATAACCCTAAATAAAAAAAAACAAAAGAAAAGAAAAGAAAAAGATAAATTAAATGATAAATAAATTAAAAATTTTTTTTTTCTTTCTTTCAATTGATATTTTATTTTATTGTTTTAGTTATATAATAAATAGGAAGTAATGGTTTAGTGGAAGCTATGCCATATGTTACTTGGAGACAGGGGTTTGAATCTTACCTATATTGGAGGAAATTTCATTTTTGTTGACCTCGAATGAAGTTACCAAAATACCCCTATCTCTTGTGCAATTTTAAAAAAATATCTATTGGATTTTTCTGTAATTTTCCCTAATAAACTTCATTTCTTTAAATTCCTTCCCTTTGTCGGTCAAGAACAGAGCACGAGGGGAGAGAGTGAGAGAAATCCTGAATCTAGAAATTTCAAGCTTCTCTATCTTCTCCATCGGTCTTCTCCGTCTTCTTTGCCTATTCCCATATGTCGTCGGTGTTGATGAGTCTAGAAGCTTCATCCGCCGCTGCTAAGAGTTTGAGCTGTGAGTTCTCCCAGGTGCGACGTCAATCACTTCCCTTTTCCTTGCCGTCATGTTGTTTGGTGTGCGTGTGGGTTTGAATTTCAGTTCTACGTCAATCACTTCCCTCTTTCTTGCTGTGATGTTGTTTGGTGTGCGTGTGGGTTTGAATTTCAGTTCTCCCTCCTCTGTTTTCGACACTGTGAAAGGATGCATGGAACGTTCTTCTCCCTCTTCCTTGTGCAGTGTCGCAGGTTCTTTCTCCTCCTTCTCTGCTCACGTCGTTGCTGGTTCAAGGTAGGAGATTTGGGATCCTTCTTTTTGGTTATTTCTGTACTCCTAAACACGGTATATTGTCGCTGTGCGTGAGAGTGTAGTTACTCTGTGTGTGCGTGAAATTACAGAATTTGTGTGTGGTTTGTGCTGTTGTGCTATTTCAGGGAAGAGATAATTTAAATATGGAGTTGGAAGGCTTAATAATTATAGTGGCTGAGTTAAATTAATTTGTTTGGAATGGCTGGTGTTGAAATAATTGTTAGGATGGAAGTGGAAGAGAAGAGCTTAAATGGAATACTTGGAGTTTTAATTTCTTTTTCTTGTGTTCTGTTGTTGCCATGATTGTTTAAGAAGAAGATTTTAAATTAAGCAGGAAAGGCATATTAAAGCTTGGTAGTGATATATTTGGGTCAGAATTTTTGAATTTGGATATAAAATTTGAAGAACGATGCCTAAAGATGTTTGTTAAAATGTTTATTAGAGGGAGTGATTGATTGTGCATTTCCTAAAAATCTCATTAAAATTTTTGGGAGACATAATGGATTTGGATGATATTATTTGGTGAATTGAGGTTGGTATTGTGTAAAACTTTTTGATTATGAAAGTGGTGCCTAACTAGTTAAATCCTTTAGAAGTAGGTAGTTATAGAGAAATTGTTGAGTAATTTACTGGGAGATTTGAAAATAATGTGCATTCGGTGTTTAGAAAAAAAAAATGTTTAGTAGGAGATTGTATTGTAATAGAGCATTGAGTTATGACTTTTGAGGGATTTTCATGTGTAAAGCCTTGATTTTAAAATTTAAAGTTATTATATAGCTAAATATTGGTTGTGAAATATTGGGAGTAATTTATTGAATTTACTGAAAGTTTATTAAATATTTTATATAAATTATAGGATGTTTGGAAGAACAGACATTTAATTGAAGTTGAGAGGTGAACTTTTAAATTTTGGGAAGTAATTCAGGTAAGTGGATAGCGTCCCAACTGAAATTTTTTTCTTTTCAATTAAAATTTCCTTTGCTAAAATATTACGTTTTTCTGAAAATCATTTTAATAGCATTAATGCGATTGTTGGATATTTGTTGATTAACATTACTTTATTTTGAGAAATTAGCTTTACCAAATTTGAAATGTTATTTGACCAATTAAATCAAGTTTGAACTTTGATTATGAGATTTTTATTTTATCAAATATTGGATTGATACAGAGAATGATTCATGCAAGTTCGACTCTGAAAATTTGTTTTTTTGATTATTCGATAAATGCACGCATGAGCATTGGATATGAAATTTGATTCTGGCAAGTTTTAATGCCTAAAAGTATTCATGCGAGTTTGATTTTGAGAATAAGAATTGTATCTGAAAAGTGATGATTTTCTTGCATGTTTGAAAATGGTTTTAAAAAGGGACTTTATACAGAACACTGGTTGCTAACGACAGTTTCGTTAGCCCTTGGCGCGCCATGGTACACCCAGCTAGCAGGGTGTTTATAGGAGGTGCTAGCCCCGTGCGATGGCCAACGCACGTGGAATGGAGGGATGGTTATTCGTGAGCATCGTACTCACGTTTGTTTCGTGGCTTCGGCTGCGTTTGGTTACTTACCCTCGTGGACTATGTGTCCACGTTTGTTTTCGTGGCAAAAGCCGCGTTTGGGTTATCACTCTCGTGGACTGTGTGTCCACGTTTGTTAATTGTTCTGATAAGTTCCTATAATTATGAATCTAATTATCTGAGGATTTCATATTCTATTGGTTTTTATTAAGTAAATTGTTTATAAATATATTATTTCATATATGTGTTTTCTTGAAAGCAAGTCTTATTAATATTTGCCATGATAGTTCAATGAATTAAGATCTAATTTTAAAATTTTACAGAGCTATTCTATTTTAAAGTTTATTACATTTTTCGGAAAGCTGTTGTCTCTTTGACTCACAATTATTTTAAACTTTTTTTCTCTTTTTATTCAAGTTCTATTATTTATTGTTGGGACGTTATTCACTGGAAATTATTATTTTGATCTCAGATACGTTAGCTGATGTTGTGCCTTCCGCTAATCCTTGAGGGGCTGTAATATTCAGTTGAGATGAAAAGCTGAAATCAAACTTCTTTAAAGTAAATTTCTTATGTCAGGTGCTCCACAGAAGCTATAGTTAGGGTCCTCATCCTTATAATTTATACTGTGTTATTTAATGATCGGAAGAGAATTCCTTGCTGCTGCTACTGTTTTGTAAAATATTAAATCTTTTGTTCATATGGTTTGTATTGAGGATGGCTTAATTTATTATCAAAGGTCTTCATGGCTTATAAATTAAATTTTTCTAAAAAAAAAAGACTTTTGGAATATGGGTAATATCTCTATATTCTGTGCCAACATGTTCTAATTTCGGGGTGTGACAACAAACAAATATTTATTTTGATACATACATACATACATACATATATATATATATATATATATGTATATGAATATATGTAATTTTACAAGCAAATGCAAAGTGTTTGCATCGCAAATTCTATGCTATGGCCAAACACACCTTGGATAGAGAGTGGGTGTGTGGGCCCCATAAGGATCTCTGAGCCAAATGAAAATATTTAACATGTATATTTGTATTAGTATATGGTGTTTGGATTAGTTTTTGACCATTCTTATGTGATTTATGCATTTTAGAGGCCTAGGGCCCATTTCGAAAAATGGTACCCAGGTGGTCAAATTTTGACGTAAGCATTTTTTCTATCATTTGAATGTTCTATTAGGCAATCTTAGTCCTATTTGACGTGTTCAAAGTGTTCTAACAAGTTTGTGACCCTTAGGATGAGATGTAGACAATTTCGAAAATGGTTTTTACTAAAAAACTATACTTTTGCATTTGAGTGTCCAAATTTCAATCTAACCATTAGATTTTTCTAAAATTTGGATCACAAGTAAAAATTTGTATAATCTTTGTGTGGGCTTAGAATCACCTTAATCAAATATTAAATGGAGAAATAGTACACTTAAGAATTTGGTCTAGAGGTGCTGTCATGACAGCAAAATAAAGCTATCATGATAGCAATAGTAACTGATATTGCAACGAGCACAAATTTCAATCTGTTCATTGGATATTTTTGAAGTTTGGTACACTAGAAGTAATCATTGAAAGTAACGTGTAGGTTCTAAAATTGCACCGATCGAAGGTTGGATGACAAAATGGTGCACTTTCGAAATTGGTCAGGAGGTGCTGTCATTATAGCAAAAATGTTCAAACTTCTAACATATCCAAATTTTAATCTAACCGTTGGACCTTTTTAAAATTTTTAATGCTATTAATACTTATTAAAAGTGACATTTGAGCTTTAAAATTACTTCAATCAAAGGCCATTTAGTGAATCAATGACTCCTGAAAGTTTTCCCGAGAGGGCTTCATGACAAAAAACTAATGTTATCATGATAGCAATTAATTGCTCCTGTTTACCCAATTTGCTTCTATGTGCTATATAGTAACCCTTTAAGCTTTTCTAAGAGGTTTTAAATATGTGTTTTGATATTGTGTAGATTATTTGGTTACTTAAATAGTTTGTTTCCTAAGTTAATTTTATGATCAATTCCTTAACCATAATTAGTTTATTTGGTTATGGAGTGCTTTTGTTGACACTCAAGACAAATGTTTCATTGGTTGTGTATTTACTAGAATTTCATTAAATTCCTTAGAAGACATAAATGGTTTGGATGCTATTATTTTTCCAATTGAGTTTGACCTTATGTAGAAATTTGGTCATAAAAATTAATGTGTAGCTAGTTGAATTCTTTGGAATTACTGAGTTAAGAAATTGTTGGGTTAAGATTGTAAATTTTTTTCCTCCTTTCTTTACAGCCATGTGGAATGTCGATGATGCGGATTTAATTTTCTGGAGTTAAAAATGATTTATCTATTTAACAATAGAGCTTGGAAAGTTGATTAATTATATTTATGTTAGAACTTGGTATTATGATCCAAGCATTGTGCAAAATAAAAATATCTTTAATAGAATGTTTGGAAAAAGGAAGATTTTGAATTTAAGGTGGAAAAATATTTGTGATTGTCATATAACCAGTTATTAAACAATCATTGAAGGCAATTGTAACATCTTGAATTTTAATTTTGGAAATTTCCACTATTTATAAGGGTACTTTAGTCAAATTAAGTGAATTTTTAGTTAATGATGTTTTGGGAGACTAATGTATCTAATGGATCATTAGATAGCTTTAGAAGAGGGCTAAATTGGAGTTTAAGTGGGCCGTGGCATGGAGAAAGGCCCAAAACAAGTTTGGGGATCTTTAAGCCATGTGTCACGGCAGGCGTCCAATGTGCCACAATACACGAACAAAATTTGCATTTATTAGCTCAAAAAATCAAATAGAAAATGAGAAGTGGGATAGAGAGAATGTGGAGAGATGACAGGAGACAACCAATAGGTTCTAAGGCTCAACCTTAAGAACACTGTGGAAGTATTTGGAGCAAAATTTAGCTTTGGATAAGCTTCCTTCACTTCTCCTTCTCCCTCTATGTGAGTTTTTTTTGATGATTTAGGTATTTTAGGGCTGTGATTTTGTGTTTTCCTAGGTAATGGCTAAACCCATTACCTTAGTTAAGGCCTTAGAGAGTTAAATCAAGTCTCTAATTCTGAGTTTATGGGTTTTATGGTGATTTAAAATTTTTCGTTAGGTTTAGACTTACCTTAGGTAGAAATTGAATGATTAAGAGCAATATGGGCATTGTAATGGTGTTGTTTATATGTTGGGATGTTAAATGGGGTTAATGTAGTGCATTGGAAGGATTGTTGGGATGTTTAATTGTGTAGATTAACCTTAGTTGAGCATTGTAGTACTAGTGGATGTTTGTGAAGCTATTGGTAGACTACGGTAACCCTTTTAATGACAAAAGGGTTGAGGTAATCAGACTGTCTAATCTTCCTTTTTGTGTGTTTGGATGATAGTATACAGATTTTAAAGTTAATGTTATAGTTTAGTATCAACATAGTAATAATATAAAATTATGATTTTTATGTTATTTGGAGTAGAATGAAAAGCTGTTTAATATTTTAGTATTTGAAGAGTAAATGTTATTTTTATGTATAATGGCTAGCAAAATTCTATGATTTACATGAGAATAAACAATTATGATCATTGATATGTTATGGGTATGTAATGGATTTACTTTTGCATGATCATTATGAGAGGGTGGGAGTTCACCTTATTGTGTTGTCGAGACATTGTTTGGAAATTCATATGGTACACTAGCACTATGGAGGCCCCGATGCTTAGTATTATATTTTTTGAAAGTTCTAGTACTACAACTGATACATTGAGCATTGAAACCCCTAGTAATTATGGACAGGGCAAATCTATGGTCCATAGTGGGCGAAGGCACTCTTAGCCGGTACTACCTCCTACTAATAGTAAGCTTAGGCCAGTATAGTTGCATAAACTTGTCCTATCGAATTGTCAACCCACATATTCAATCAGATGACATAAGGAAGGTATAAGATGGTGTGTTGATCATGCATGTCATTATATAACCATATGTATGGATTTATGAAACATGATATATGATTTGTTATGTCACTTCACATACGCATGAATTGTTCTCGCACATGAGTAGTTTTAAGGTGTTAGAATCTAAAAGACAGGTTTAAAAAGGCTTTCAAATATGAAACTAAGGTTTTATAACCAGTTTGGAGTTAAATGGTTGAACCTTGTGGATTTATGCTCAATTAGCCTAAAAAGTTAGGTTAAAATGGTGAAATTTGGTGAATAAATAAGTTAGAGGTTGTTATGGTCATCTAAATAGCCTATATGGCTAATGACTATAGATGATGCATTATGTGAATTTGAAAGGTGCTAATTGAACTATTTTGTGTGTTAAGGGATTCAGTTTAGCCAAATGAATGCCTATACTAAATATTAAGAATTGACTGAGGGTCATTTCATTGCGTATATTGAGCATTGTGATGTTGCTCATGAGAATCTACACCTTTAGAAATTTGCTATGATTGATAACCCTTAGTAGTAAGGAAAAAAGATAACTAAAGCAATCCTTTTGCTTATTGTTTTATGAAATTATTTGTAAGTATTTTATATAACTATGTACATGATATTATGAACTGATAGAGTAGTAATATTGTGAAAGAATTTGTTTATGAGTGTGTGAGTATTTGTTGAAATGTATGAGATAATATATGTACATAGACATATGCATTGCATTTATAAATATACCTTAGACTAAGGTAGGGGATTACAGCCCTACTTTGTATAAGGCTAGGAAAACTTAAAGGTCTTGAGTGTGGAGCTTGACTCCACCAGGAAGGGCCTAAGAGATCTTAAAGGTCTCAAGCATAGAGTTTGACTTTACCATGATGGACTTATGATAATGATTCATCAGTGTACCCTAAATTATGGTAGGGGTCATGGTCTTATTCTATGTAAGGCTAGAAAGTTATAAAGGTCTTGAGCATAGATGACTTTGTCAGGAATGACCTAGGAGATCACCCATATACAAAGAGGATGCTTGGTCTAAACAGTGGTATGGTGGGTCTTATTTCGTGTAAGACTGAAAGTCCTAGTTCAAGCGTAGAGCTTGCTCCACTAGGTGAAACTAGGAATGCATGAGCATGAGCATGATGGATGTATATGTATGAATTCTTGCATATGCATATGATATTATTTTTTATTGAAATACATGCTACTTTGTCTCTTGTTCATGATTTTGCTTGCTAATTGGTATTTTGGGTTGTATTTTAGTTACTAGGATGTATATCTCACTCTATTACCTCTATACACAAGTAAAGAGAGCACAAGAAGGTTAGGAAAGGAAGTGAGGAAGGAGAAGCTTCAATTGGTAGTGGTATGACTACCATTATGTAAATGAATGTATAATATGTTGTTAGAGTTAAGTTACCAACTATGATGCATAAGTGTATGTGAATATAAATATGTGAATGTGTATATGACTTGTAAAGAAAACTTGCTTGTATGTATGATTTTGCATCTTGCCGAGGGTACCATAGTAATGGGTACGTTGGTAGGCTTAGATGTCAATCAAACAAGTGTATGTGATTATGTAACTTGTTCCACTATGTATTGATGTGATTTTGTTATGTGAAATTATATGTATATGTGAGAACTTGACACAAATTGTGAGGTTGAGCCCTATTGGAAAGAGTCGAGTATATTTGTAATTCCCGACCATATGGTGAGGTAGAGCCCCATAAGTAAGAGTCAGATGATTAAAAGTGGAACAAATTTATATGTATATGTACTTTTATGT